GGGCATGTTTTCCCATATTCACAAACAAGCTTTTTTTTTTCTCCCATCATCCGACGTTAACCTCCACTTGAAACAAGTATGTCAGGTATGCTTCTTTCCCAACTTTTACATCAAGACAAAACAACGATGATCATTTTGTGAGCTTGGCCAAATATCGAGCTGGCATCTCCAGACAAGACACCTGAGAAACCTTCCAAAAGAATGTTGGGGTTATTTTTGTTTTGTCTCCCCCCACCCCAGGAATGATCATATCTGTGTCGTGTCCCCCACCCCTTTCTTTCTTTCTTTCTTTCTTTCTTTCTTTCTTTCTTTCTTTCTTTCTTTCTTTCTTTCTTTCTTTCTTTCTTTCTTTCCTATGACTCCCCTGCACATGTGCATGTGGGTGGGCTTACACAGCGCACAGATGATATTAAGGCCCCCTTGCTTGCGGTCACGTAGCTGGAGGAGTGGCTGGAATCCTAACATTTACAGTCACAAAACTTCAGCTGTGTTCTTTTTTGTTTTTTGTTTTATTTTACATTAATCTTGTTTTTGTTGTTTGCTTTTTGTGTGTAAGATAGATTACACCTTCCTTGGAATTACTGGACAGTTTGTAGTCCAATCGGCTTAATAGCATCATTATGAAACAGGTATAGTTTTCAATTAATTAATTTTTTATTTTTTTTATCTTTTTATTTTCCGGGCATAGCTGAGGACTTGTGCTTGGTAGACGAGCGCTCTACCACTGAGCTAATAAATCCCCAACCCAAACCAGGTAGAATTTTTGTTTTGGGTGGGGCCCCATCTTCCTTCAGAAATTGCTGTTAGGAAAACTTAATCATTATTAATATCAAAACAGAAGGTTTAAACTTTGGGATAGCCTGCGGGGGGGGGGGGTGGTGGTGGTGGTGGAGGTGGTGGTGGTGATCTACAGAGTGAATTCCAGGAAAGGAGCCAAAACTACACAGGGGAAGCCCTCTGTAAAAAAACCAAACGGAAAGAGGGGTGTGTGGTTCATATACTCAGTAGTGAGACTCTGTTGCAGAGAAAAACAACATTTCCTTCACCAGTGGTTATCAGTTGGAGATTAAAAAAAAACACAAAACAAAATTAAACAAATCATCTTTAGTCTAATTTTAAAAAGAGAGAGAGAGATACTACTATGATCATTAGACAAGTCAGTGTGCACACAGAGTATAATATGATACTCTTCCTGTCATTCTGATTTATCTTCCTTGATGCTACACATGGCTGCTTCCATCTTGGTGAGACAATTTGAACTCTGCTAGCAAGTGTCTGGATCATAACTTCATCTCTCTC